ATAGTACGGCCAAAGGAAAAACAAAGTCCTAAACTACTCTAAGTGTCTCTCCAACTTCAATTGACACTTAGAACTAGTTATCCTTAACCTTGTTGTCCATCCTTTGAAAACCGAAATGATTTCCATCGTGGGGGCATGACAACCTCAATTGCCCAATCGATCTCCATTACCATGACCTAACTTAATTGCCTCTGCAAAACACACGTTAGTCATAGTAATCTTGTATTGACATTAATCACCAAAATCCACTTAGGGGCCTAGATGCTTTCAGCTCTCACTAGTTTTAGTTTTTCCATTGGAAATCTCCTTAGTGAGAAAAGCATGGTCTTGTACCAAGTTATCATGAGCAACACTAAGTTCCTCATGCGCCAATTTTAGCTCCTCGTGTGAACAAGTAGTAACATAAAGTAGATGCTTTTGTTGTTCACACGTGTTCTTTAGAAATGAGTTTTCATTTTTCAATTTCTCAGTTTTAGCCATCTCCTTTTCTAAAGCTTTGATCATGCAACCATATCTATCTAGAAGCTCCTCATATGAATCAAGATCAATCACATTTGCATTAGATACCTTAGTGTCACCTTGTGACATGAAGCAATGTGATGTAGTTGGAGAGCTTGTAGTAGCATCAACATCATGGCTTGAGCATGAACGAACATCATCAAGATCACCACCAAGTGTGCTTGAGGTAGAATCTTCATGTGCAACACTTGTGGCATCATCATCAACCTTGTCAAGTGATCTTGTGGTAGTATGATCATCATCATCACTTGACCATGAGGTGGAGCAATCTTCCACAATCACCGAATTATGGTCATGCTCAACATCCTCATGCACCTCCTCTATGGGCTCATCATCATCATCGAAGACTGTCCCATACTTCTCATTGAGATAACTCCAAATCTCATGAGCGGTCTTCATATCAATGATCTCACCAAATATGTTATCATGCAAAGATCTATACATGATGTTAGTAGCTTGGATGTCAAGATCTAGGCATTTCTCTTGTGCTTGAGTTAGATTATCTTCATCCAACACATGAGAAAAGCCTACATCTACCATCCACCATATTTGAGGGCAAATAAACTTAAAATTGCATATCATCCAATTTTTCCACCGTGCAAAGTGTGTGCCATCAAAGATGTGTGGACAATCAACATCTAGCCCATAAGTCGCCATGCTCTCGGGTTGGTGAAGACCACAAATTAGAGACCTAGCTCTGATACCACTTGTAAGGTCGAGATGGTGACTAGAGGGGGGCGTGAATAGTCATTTCTAAAACTTAATCACGTTAGCTAACCGAAGCAACTACAAAATTAAAACAATCGGTCTAGTCAAGACTACACCCCTCTATCTATGTTCTCTAGCACCTTGTAAAGATTCTTATTAAGCAACTAAGATGACGGGCTAGCTAGAGCTCACCTAACCAATTCTAGAAGCAAGGTCACATAAACCTATGCCACTAGTACTTCAAGCAAAGAGGGAGCTCCTACACATCCTAGTAAGCAAAAGCACAAAGCCACCTAAGTTCACTAGCAATGCTCAATAACAAGGCAACCAATGTCAAATTAGAGAGCGCAAATACTTAGCTACATAAACTAAGCAATGTGACTAACAAGGTTACACAAACCAAATTAGCCACTCAAGGGAGCTACTTCTATGCTACACAAGCTAGAAGGTAACTAGCAAGCTACACAAGCTAACTAATTACAGGAGCAACTACACAAGCACAATGTATATGAAAGTAATTACAAGCTTGTGTAACGAGGATGGAAACCAACGAGAATACAAGGATGACACGATGATTTTTCCTGAGGTTCACATGCTTGCCACACGCTAGTCCCCGTTGAGACAAGCTCCAAGGTTGCCGCCGGTCCTCTTGCTAGTGGTGACCCGCAAGTCACACTCTCCCATGTGGAGTGCTTACCACAAGCTCTAGCACTTGACCTGGCCGGACCACTTGTCACCCTTCGCGTCTCGCTTTACTAGAGTTGCCCTTCGCAGCTCCCGCGGGGCGAGCACAATGCCCCTCACAAAGCTCTTCTCCGGAGCGCCGCACAAGCTTCTTGTGGGTTTCGATGGAGACCACCACCAAGCCATCTTGGATATGGCAACCTCCAAGAGCAACAAGCACCACCGGCTTGCAAGACAACCACCTAGTGCCACTCAATGCAACCTCAGGATGCAATCACACTAGAATCGCTCACTCACTCAATCGAATGAACACTATCAAGCTAGAGTGAGTTAGAGGGCTCCCAAGCACTCTCAAGCATGGACACAAAGTCCCCCGTGGTGCTCAGCACAAGCCATGGCCCAGACCACCTTCTATTTATAGCCCCATGGGCTAAACTAGCCGTTACCCCTTCACTAGGCAAATTTCAGGATGACCAAACACGCAGGTCGTTTGCACCGGACACGTCCGATGGTGACCGAATGCGTCCGGTCGCTGGTGTCCGGTTGTAGCTGACCTGCCATGTGTCCCATTCAAACTATCCATTACCCCAATGGCTCTCTCTGACATGTCACATCAGATGCGCTATTCAAAATGACCGGACGCTGAGCCACAGCGTCCGGTCGAGTCTAGTAAGATCCTAGGGCCGACTGGATGCGTCCGGTCACTCCGCACCGGACGCAGGAGACGCAGCGTTCGGTCGAGTCTAGAGAGCTCCCAGAGCTGCTCTGGGCCGACTGGACGCGTCCGGTCACTCTAGACCGGACACTTCCAGCGTTCGATCAACTGTTACGCTGAACACCGACACTCCTTGATTGGTGACCGGACGCGTCCGATCGCTTTCACTTAGTCACTCACCTCGGGTCAAATATCAGACGCATCTGGTCACCATATCGGACACGTCTGGTCACTTCTGTCTTACAACCCGAAGTCTAGATAGAATAACGGACACGTCTGGTAGCCACACCGAACATGTCCGGTCACTCTATGACCAGTGCGACTAACTCCTTTTCTTCACCAACTTCTTCTCCTTTGTAAATGTGCCAACACCACCAAGTGTACACCACTATGTGTATGTGTGTTAGCTTTTCACAAACATTTTCCAAAGGATTAGCCACTCAACTTGTTATGCCACTCGATCCTAGCGACGATGCAAAGTTAGATCACTCAAGTGGCACTAGATGACTGATATGCAAACAAGTTTGCCCCTCTTGATAGTACAGCCATCTATCCTAAACCTGGTCATAAACTTCTCTACACACCTATGATCAATGAAATGAAATGCCCTATGTTATACCTTTGCCTTGCGCATTCCATTCAATCTTCTCCAATGTCGATGCAACACATGCACCAACACGATCAACAATGATATGATTCACTTCATATCATCACATGATCATATTGGTTCATCAATCTTAACTTCACTTGCTCTTCACCGTTGCCTTCATCCATCGGTGCCAAGTCTTGCTCAAGCTTCACCGCCACGCGGTCCATCGCTCCAAAGCCTTCGACTTGCCCTTCACGCTTGTAACCGGTCCATCAAGCCAAGTCATGTCTTGATCTTCTCCACCTTGATCACATGACTCAATGTCATGTCTCATTTGCAATGAGCTCCTTCATCATCACATGTGTGAGCTTTGCAACATCTCCAAGCCATTTTCATCTTCATGGCATATGTTGCTCACACACATGTACCTATGGACTAATCACAAGTGTATCTCACATAAACACAATTAGTCCACCTAGGTTGTCACTCAATTACCAAAACCACACAAGAACCTTTTAGTAGTCGTGACAATCTGAAGTCCTTATGAAGTTATTTGAATGTATACCAGCTGCTCTAGTGTCTAACAGAAGAAATGTCATCATTTATGGACATATGTTTTGAGCACATAAAAGCTTTGCTAATACCAGGAGTCTATGGGATACAATCCTGCCATGTAGCTTATTATTTGGACTGAATAACTACTAGGATTGAAAATAGTTTTGCACTAAACTAGTAGGACTAAATAGGCTTGTCAACAGTTTGCCAACTACAACAGCATTTGGCAAAATCATAGTAACATGTACTCCGGGAGTAATACCAATGAAAATAATATCACAAGAATTATAAAGTGTTCTGTGCCTAGTCCAAAGTACTGCTCCAATCATACATTCAGATGTGATAGTAACATACTAACATAACCATAAGGAACTCTACAAATAGTCGGCGCACAATCTTTCCATCTTAAATAGAAAGAAACAAAAACTTTATATAGAATAAGCTTATAGCGATTAGGCTTTATCAGAGAAATACTAGAGTAATTGTTGCATGCTATTCTCATTGATACCTACTTTTACTCTCCTTAGAAAGCCTAATCGAAACTTATCATTGCACAATCAAGTGGATCACAGAGTATTTGAAGGACTAACACCAGAAGCATGATGGCGCTAGAAACTAAAACTAAAAAAAGCAAGAATGCCACTAGAAGCATGATAGCACCATAAGCATGATGGCGCTAACTAACATGGAATCATCATTTTCTCATACCTCCTAACTTGGGAAGACATGGCAGGTGGGTGAACAGAAGTTTTTGAAACTTCAAAACAACCAACAGATAGAGCTCTGGCAGAACAAACTCAAGTACAGATCCTTGAAAAAAAATAGTATAAACCCAAGCTTTTCACTAGATCCACTAAGTCAACTAGATTAACTTCTACTTATTTGATATTGGACAGTTGTGTATAGAAGGCAAAGCACAATCATTACAGTATATGATCAAATTTACTTATCAATCATGCATGTCTCCAGCAGTAGAAATAATTAAACAAGTATAGAAGACAAAGCATAGGCATTACGGTATATATCTACTGCTATTCAAAATAATTAAACAAGTGATGTTTCAGGAATCAGAACCCTCAATATAGGAATCAGAACCCTCAATATTGGCCCTTAGGAATCAGAACAAGAAAGCGCACACAGATACATCCTAGACAGAACAAGATTAAGTACTTGAAATCAACTCTCATGAGTCTCATCACCACAGACATGCATATGTAAAGGATAGCGTACCTTGCAATGTTTATCGTACTGTATCTTTTCACACTGAAGCATCTTCTTAGTATCATCCCAGGTGAAGCCACTTCTGCTCAGCATTTGTTCCAGTGCTCCATACTTTGTCCTAAAATGCCTAACTCTAGACTCAATATGAGGTAAAGCTAAAATTCCAGTGCCTGGTAGCTTCTCAGCAAGAATGTCCTCTAGTGCAGATAAATACCCATTATTAAAGCCTCCTCCTTGCCCCTTCCACTTTGGCTCCAGTGATATCTCATACAGTGCTTTCATAAGCTCATCATCTTCATTCATAGTCCACTTCCTTTTATTCTTTCTCCTTCCACGCACAATTGTTGATTTTTGAGAAAGGTCCATAGCTGCATAGTATTAAGGCCATGTTAAAATACTACACAACTAATAATATATAATAAGGCCATGTTAAAATACTACACAACTAATAATATAGAATAATTTCAGAACCAGAAGAATATGAAAAGCATACCTCAATTAGGACTAGAAGAAGCCCTATAATTATTATATAGCCCTTCAGCAAGAACATCTCAAAAATTAGTCCACTCATTAGAAGTTGACACACAGGTGATAAATTATGGTTCACTAACTTCTCCTTCAGTAATTTCCACTGAAGGTACCACTGATTCATCCAAAAATTCCATTAGATCTCTTGACATATTTTGCAAAATCAAATTGTGCAAAAGGGCACAAGTCATTATTATTCTACATTGAGCTTTTATAGGAAAATAAGATGGAGATCTCAAAATTCCCCACCGACCCTTTAACCTTCCAAAACACATCTCAATAATATTTCTTGCTTTTGCATGCCTCATATTAAAATATTCCTCTACGCTATGTGGGGGATTTTGTGCAGTCCAACCTCCCAAGTGATACCTTTGACCTCGATATGTAGCTAAAAAGCCATTTGCATTTACATAGCCAGCATCCACAAGATAGTAACACCCTTTAAGATTGCAAACAGAAACAAAATCAACATTTGCACTAGATAACTTATTAGGAAACCATGAGTTAACAAAACCAAACTCGCCTTGGAGGATATGCAAGCCATTTGGCCTGGTAATGGCATCTCTTAGCACACGACCGTCATGTGTTGAGCCCTCCCAACCAGGTAGTACATAGATGAATTACATATCAGGTGCACAAACACCTAGGACATTTGTCACAATGTCTACTTTTCTAGACTTATACCTTCCTTTTAGCTGAGTTGGAACAGTCACCTTTATATGAGTTCCATCCAAGGCTCCCAAACAATTCTATAACAAGATCCATATAGAAAAAAGAACTATCGCATGCTTACTTTGTAATATGTATTTCTTTTGTTAAAAGAAAATTTTGTTAACAAGTCATTTACCTTGAAATGTTTTCAGTAACTATCTGTGCTATTCTCCGGTATTGGTTCTAGGGTCTTAAGTAGTAAATGGTGCAATTTCAGAACAGCTAGTAGGCATAAATTGAACTGCCTACTAACTGTCTCGCCACTTCAAAAGAAAGTATTTTTTAATGTCCGATTCTTCAAGTGATGGGCTAGTATGTACAGGAATTGGGCCACTATCTCTTCTAGCTCCATATTACGTGTGCCCTTCAATCCACCAACATCTTTAAGCATCTCACACAGGATGTAGAACGTTCTCCTATCCATGCGAAGCTCACTAATATAGGTAGTGTTGCTGCTATCAATTAGTTGGAACAACTTCTCATTTCTAAGTTCTTCATTTATTATCCTTCTCTCTATCTTGAAACACCTTCTTCTATAAGCCAAAGCAAGAAAGAACCACATGTAATAGTACATGACGATGATGGAAGTCAACATATTTCTAAGGGCCATGTTTCTTCTTTGAGTTCTTGTGGTTAAAGGAAGGTGAGCCATGAAGCTGGTGAAAGCTCTAGTTTGGTTTTGGTGAATTGATGAAACCCTAAGTGCTAACCTAGTTTATCAAGTGATCATGATATAGGTAGCACACTCCAAGTGGTGAAGCAAATGAAGATCATAATATGATGATTGTGATGTCATGGTGATGATCAAGTGCTCGGACTTGGAAAAAGAAGAAAGAGAAAAATAAAAAGCTCAAGGCAAAGGTATAAACCATAGGAGCTATTTTATTTTGGTGATCAAGACACTTAGAGAGTGTGATCACATTTAGGATCGATAGCCGTACTATTAAGAGGGGTGAAACTCGTATCTGAATGCGGTTATCAAAGTGCCACTAGATGCTCTAACTCATTGCATATGCATTTAGGATCTAGTGGAGAACTAACACCCTTGAAAATGTTTGTGAAAATATGCTAACACATGTGCACAAGGTGATACACTTGGTAGTTGGCACATTTGAGCAAGGGTGAAGAAGTTAGAAGTGAAATGGAGTTGGTCGCAGTGATGCTGGCGTCGGTCTACTGACCGGACGCTGGGTTGCTCTGCGACCGGACGCTGAAAGGCTACGTCTGGTCGAGTGGTCGGTTGGCACAGTGGTTAGGGTTAAGCATCGGACGCTGGGCTATGTCCGGTCAAGCATGACCGGACGTGTCCGGTCGGTAAAAATAGGTTTTGGACCCTTACTGAAACGACCGGACACTGAGGGTCCAGCGTCTGGTCAACAGTGTCGGAGCGTTCGGTCAACATTTCGACCGTTGAGATCAAACGTTCACAGTTGAACACAGGTGACACGTGGCCGCCATAGGGGCGACCGGATGCTGGGGAGCAGCGTCCCGACAGTAGGACCGGATCGTCCGGTCACCCTGATCAGTGCCCAGTGAAGAGATACAATGGCTCTATTTCGTGGGGGCTTCTATTGAAGCCCCATGGCCGGCTCAACCTCACTCTCTTGGCCATTTGCATTGACATAGCAACCTTGTGAGCTTAGCCAAAGCCCTCCCACTCATCTCCATCATTCATTCATCATCATAGTGAGTTTGGGAGTGATCCAAGTGCATTGTTTGAGTGTTTGCATCTAGAGGCACTTGGTGTTCGTGTTTCGCTGTGGGATTCACTTGTTACTCTTGGTGGTTGCCGCCACCTAGATGGCTTGGAGCAGCGAGGATCGTTGAGCGGAGGGTGGTGATTGTCTCCGGCTTCGATCGTGGTGATTGTGAGGCGTTCTTGACCTTTCCCCGGTGGAGCGCCAAAAGGTACTCTAGTGGATTGCTCGTGGCTTGTGTGATCCTCATCTTGTGTTGGTTGTGTGGCACCCTATTGAGGGTTTGGTGTGTGAGGCCAATTAGCGCGTGAACCTCCAAATGAGTGAATCGCCACAACGAGGACTAGCTTGCCAGCAAGCAAGTGAACCTCGGTAAAAATCATTGTGTTCATCATATTGATTCTAAGGTGATTCATCTTCATTGTTATCCACACTTGTGATTGATTGGTTCATACATCTACACGGCGGTATAACCTTCTTACCTACTCCTTACCTTACCGCAAACTAGTTGTCAAGCTCTTTAGTGTAGCTAGTTATGAGAGCTTGTTTGCTTGGTTGGTGTGGCTCTTTAGTTAGCCTTTGAGAGCACACTAACATAGAGTAGTGTCATAGCTTTTGTGTGATTAGATACTATCTAAACTAGAATTGCGGTAGGCGGCTTGCATTTTAAGTAGGCTAGCGCAACACTTGCTTCGCCTCATAATTGTCTAACCATTTTGATTAAGTGTTGTTGTAGAAATTTTATTAGGCTATTCACCCCCCTCTAGCCATTAGGACCTTTCAAGTGGTATCAGAGCAGATGTCACCGTGATTTGATGCTTAACAACCTTCGGTGTAAAAATGGCTCAAATCAACAACACAACGAAGCCACCCCAATTTGATGGCTCAAATTATCCCTATTGGAAGGCTAAGATGACAACATATATCAAGTCAATCAATAGGAAGATTTGGAAGGTGGTAGAAACAAAAATTAAGATAGAAGATGAAGAGGTTCCCACCGCCGCCGAAGAATTGCTACTCCAAAACAATGATATTGCTCTTAGTGCCATCCATGATGCTTTGGATGAGAGAACATTTGAGCAAATCAAGAACATTGAGAGTGCTCATGAGGCATGGAAGAAATTGAAAGAATCATTGGAGGGCACCAAGGTAATCAAGGGTGCAAAGGCATACATTCTCAAGGATAAATTTGCTAGTTTCAAGATGAAGGAAGATGAGAGTGTGCCGGACATGTTCCATCGGATGGAAGTGATTGTAAATGATCTCAAGGCACTTGGTGAGAAGATAGAGGACAAGGAATTCTCAAATAAGTTTTTGAGATGCTTACCCTCAAGATTTGGTACATTGGTCACTATTCTAGTGAGGTCCGGTTTGGATACAATGACACCAAATCAAATCTTGGAAGATATCATGACCGATGATGCTTATAGAGATGATGATGAGAAGGAAGAAAAGAGGGAGAAGAAAGGTGAGAAGAAGGATGACAAGAAGAAGAGCGTGGCATTCAAAGCCACATTATCCAAGGAAAAAGCTAAGCAAGAAACATCTAGTGAAGAAGATGATTCATGGGATGATGATGATGATGAGAAGATGGCTCTCTTTGTCAAGAGATTTGGCAAGTTCATGGTGAAGAAGGGATACCGTGCTAGAAGAAAGAAGTCTTCATCCAAGAACAAAGATGAGTCAAGAAGGTGCTTCAAGTGTGGAAGCAAAGATCATCTTGTTGCTCAATATCCATATAATAGCGACAATGATGATGACAAGAAGAAAAATAAGAAGAAGGACAAGAAGGAAAAGAAAGAGAAGGACAAGATGACCTTCAAGAAGAAGAAGGGTGGTTCATATGTGGTCACTTGGGATAGTGATGCTTCCTCAAGTGATGATGATGATAGTGATGATCACAAGACCACCAAGAAGAAGGCACTTGCAAGCATTGCTATAAATGAGAAGCCTTCTCTCTTCGAATCTTCATCATGCTTCATGGCTAAGGCCACTAAGGTACAATCTTGTGATGATGAAAGTGATGAAGAAAATGATGATGAAAATGAACATGAAAATGAGAATGATAGTGATAATGATGAACCTACTAAAGATGAATTATTTGACATGCTAGAAGATGCTAGAGAACACTTTGATATTAAGGGAAGAGAATGCAAAAGCTTGCGTAAGGAAATTAAAGCCCTTAAGCAAGCCTTTGATGAGCTCAATGCATCTCATGAGAGGCTAGAGGAAGCCAATGAGAAGCTTGGCAAAGCTCACAAAAAGCTTGAAAAGGCTCATTCTTCTTTGCTTAATGAGCAAAATAAAAAGATGCATGTTGATACTTGTGATGTAGGTTTAACTTGTGACATAATTGATGAATCACTATCTATGCCTATCATTGCTCCTTCTACTAACCCTTCTTGTGGCACTTCCACTTCCACCTCATCT